GATGTAGAATAAAGAAAATCTGAAAAGAAATCAGTAGGTGTAAGTTCTTACCCTGTGCTGGCTACTATATTAGCCATTAAAGTTGGACAAGTCATTAAATCTATTTGGCCCTCAATTCTCATATCTACTAAATGGAAGGTTGACATAAATAAACTCAAAGGTCCTCTTTAGCTCTAAAATACAATTATGATTCTTTCATTTTCTGCAAAGGTTTAAAAATTTTACCTAAGAAGTAAAAATGTAAATATATTTTTCCAATATAAAAATGAACAAAATATCATAAATTATATACACTGTTTTTTGAGGAAGAATATTCCCATAGAAATTATAGATCAAATATCCAGATGTGTTGTGATTAATAATGGTTTTGATAAATTATAGGAAATTATAACAATATCTCAGAAAACTAAGTAAAAATTGATATAAAACGCCCAAAGTATTTGGTCTTATAAATCAAGGGAAAAGAGAATGCTATTTTTCCTAAGATATATAATGCTGTTGGCTCCCTAGAGCTAAATTATATTAAAAAAAATTCAAATTCAGATTACTTGGACAGTACATTTATATATATAAGTGGTTTTATTATATTTATGTACATAGAATGGCAGAATAAGAGATTAATACTAATAATAGTATTGCTTACTATAGACTGTCTGAAAAATCCATCAGCACATATCAGAATAACTAACAGTAATGGAGTGCATGTTAGTGTATGTTACTTCAGAAGAGTTTATTTCAACTTTTTAAAACATTCTTCCTGTAATCATTTATGCATACTTTTGATATAAATTATCCATTCATAAAATGTTTGCTACGGGTAATGGAGTTTAAGTTAAGGTTTTTCTACTTCCAAACTACAATTTGTTTAAATATATTTGAGAAAACATACCTGATTCTTGCATTAATATAGCAGAATTAAAAAGCGCTAGCTTATGCTTTGGATTTAGGCCTAAAGCATGATTAAAGTTCTTTAGAGCTTCATTTGGTTCTTTAAGTTCAATAAGAACAATTGCCAAGTTGTACCAAAGATCTGCATTATTTCTGTCCAGCTCTAGTGCTTTAAGATATGCTTCCTTTGCTTTGAGAGGTTTATTCATTTTTAAAAGCAATTCTCCTCTGTGGAAAAAAAATCAAACACAAGCCTTACTTACAACATTAACATGCCAGTTTACAGATACCTTTTTTGACAAGTTTTAAGCCTTTCCACATACTTACAGCTTTCTTTTTTCTTTCTAACTTAGGCTCTTACAGTTCTCCTTCAAAAATAACTCTCTGAGACTGCTTCAAACCTGAATTCCTTAGTTTTAGCAAACTTGGTTTAATACATTTGAAATATTATTAAAGGAGGAAAAGCATGCCTGTCTTTTAAGAGGGTACAATGTGGGGAGGTCTTGAAGAAAGGGTACAAAGAAAATATATTTTCTGAATGTATCTTGAAAGGAGGCAGAGTAGATTGAATCAGAAAAATGGCAGCTAAATAGAGTAGGAAGATCAAGGAATTTGTTGGGAAATGAAGTAATACTAGTATCTGAAGAAGAAAAATACAGTAGTAGCAGGGGAAATTCTACCATTCAAATCTATGTTACATGTCTCATTGTGCAAAAAGCAGAGCATGTGAAATTTGTAACCCTTTTTAAAATTGGTTTTCTTCAATATATCTTTGTAAAATGATGTATTAAAAGAAAATTTAAAGAAGCTGATCTGGCAGGGTGGGAGGGTGTGAGTGCCATCTGCAGACACTTGAGGAACATATCTGAAAATGAGGATCATAGTTTTAAAATCTCTGTATAAATATGTGTAATATGGTTCTATTTTCTGTTTGAAAGCATAAAAAATCATTTTGCTTAAGTATATATGCATAAATCACACGTAGGCAGAGCTAAAAAGACAGTTACTTATTATAATACTACTCTTTCCTATAATATCAGCATAGTAATGAAATCAACTGAACAACTATTAATTCTCAGTAACACAATTTCAAGAATGAGTATCTAACCAAAATGTTATTTTTTAGGGGCAGAGACTGACTACCAAATAATTCTTTATGGATTAAACACATGACAGGTTTTACTTATAAATGTAACTGCACTAAACCTAGTGTACTTCAACAAGTACTAGATAAGGCTAAAGACAGCCCCCAACTCATAAATGGATTTTTATCTCAAAAACTTACTAAGTTTTAAAAGCATTTCTCCATTAGAAACAAATGATATAAATTATGATTAGGTTTCTGGGCCAAGCTACAAAAAGAAGTTTAACATACAATTTTCCTCAAGTAAAATACAAACAATAACACTTTCATAGGAAAATATATTAACTTTTAGTGTGATGCCAGAAAAACGTTTTTTACTTACAACTAAAAAGTCTTCTTTGTGGCAAAGGCATCAATAATCGGTCAACTCTCAACATTTACTTAAGAAAGTTCCTGAGAGTTGGATATTAGAAGCACTGGTTAAGAGCTATGGCTGCTAACCAAAAGGTCGGCAGTTTGAATCCACCAGCTGCTCCTTGGAATCTCTGTGGGGCAGTTCTACTCTGTCCCATAGGGTCGCTGTGGGTTGGAATCTACTCGACAGCAACAGGTTTGGTTTTTATTATACATTACAACTTTCAGGTGTTCTAAACAGGTGATGAAAAATAAATGAAACTAAGCAGGAGCTTCTTCTACCCTTTCTTTCATACATAACTTAAGT